GTGAACCCCAAACCACCAACGGCCATTTCGTTTTGGGTACCCATCGGCCCCCTTTCTCCCAACAGCCTTCCAATGACAGCCTTCGGCCACTATTATTTTCCATTTAAAGCAGATGTACATAAAGGCACCCACACAAAGAGCAGATACCTACTTGGAGGCAGGGAGACCAGCCTGTGAACTTGAACCTGGAAAATAAAGTTAGGGATAATCATCTGAAATGAAAGAAGTAGTCATGGTCACAAAATTAATTGGGGGGTGGGGGTGGAGAAGGGCAGGGCTAGTTAATTCTAGGATCTGTCTCCTCTTCTGCAGAGAGAACTTAGTTTGTGACTGAAAGGGGGGAGAAGGTCTCAAGAACATGTTGCTCCAGGAGTTCCCAACCTTTTTGAGCCTGCAAGCACCTTTGGGCAGGGGGCAGAATCACAAAATGGCTGCCACATGAGGCGAAGTCTATATATATATATATATGCAGGGGGCGGAATCACAAAATGGCTGCCACATGAGGCGAAGTGTGTATGTATATATATATATATTGGGCAGGGGGCGGAATCACAAAATGGCTGCCACATGAGGCGAAGTCAATATATATATATAGGGCAGGGGGCAGAATCACAAAATGGCTGCCACATGAGGCAAAGTCTATCTATCTATCTATCTATCTATCTATCTATCTATCTATAGGGCAGGGGGCGGAATCACAAAATATATATATGCGCGCCTTCTACTGAATCAGTCTATCAAGGTCAGTATTATCTACCTGAACTGGTGGTGGTTCTCCAGGCCTTTAGGCAGAAGCTTTCCACATCACCTACTACCTGGTCCTTTCAACAGGAGAGGGGGAAACCTGTGTTGCCTAAACTCACCGGTTCTGGTCCTATCCAAACTAAAAGGACCAAACGGCCACTGCAGAACCCATCCGGTTCCACCGATGTCAGTAGGTCTTGTGCTAGATCCAGACCAGGCAACTGGCCCCCTTCCTGTTCTCGCCCTGACCTAGCCACAACGATCCACGCGATGGTCACCTCCAAGTTAGGCTGCTGTCACTTGCTCTACAGAGGGCTACCCTTGAGACTGATCCGGAAATTACAACTGGTCCAGAATGCCAGCGGCCCGGGTCCTTACTGGGACCTCATTGACAGCACACATTCAACCAGTGCTTTGCCAGGTTCAAGGTTCAAGGTTCTGGTATGAACTTTTAGAGCCCTAAACGGTCTGGGATCAACGTGCCTACGGGACTGCCTCTTCCTGGTATACCCCCACGAAGAGCATTACACTCTTGACATGGGCTCTACTGCGAAGTATCTGTCAAGTTTAACAGCCCCACATCATCGCAGCGCATACATGCTGGCACACTTTAATGTTTTGCCGCCAGAGGTGCTTTTAGGGAGGTGCCGCCAGATACCGTATGTAGACAGACTTTGTCCTTGCTCTCTAAAAGATATAGAATCCACCAGGGCTCTTTTTGTAGAAAAAGCCCAGTAGGAACTCATTAGCATAATAGGCCACACCCAACAACAGAAACTCATTAGCATATCCTGCCACACACATGAGAGCACAGCTCATTAGCACATTAGGCCGCACCCCATGTTACCAGAAGTGTGGTCATCCAGCCACACCCACCTTTCCCTTCTTATTCTGTTTACCTTGTTTGTTGTCAAAACCCAGGGCCTTTTTTTGGAGCAGGAACTCCTTTGCATGTTAGGCCACACCCCCTAATGTAGCCAATCCTAATAAGTTTCTGCTGTTGGGTGTGCCCTATTATGCTAATGAGTTCCTGCTGGGCGTGGTCAACTTGGGAGCCAGCCGGAACTCCGTTCCTGTGTGTTCCTGCCCAAAAATAGCGCTCTCTAAAGGATATAGAATCCACTACACACACCATACTTCATTGCCCCCTCTATAGGGATATCCGATCTCGTTTTATTACCCCGTTTCTAGAGGGTGAGAGCTGGCATTCTGATGACTCAACTGGTCACTTCCTTCTGTTTAATTCTAATTGCAAAATAATGGAGGCTGTTGCAACATTTTTATATTATGCAATCAGAAGTGTAAGTGACTGATGCATCTTAGTATTTCCCCATATCTCGATGACGTTTTGTGCTTTCATGCCAATAAAGGTTTTGTGTGTGTGTGTGTGAGCATTACACTCCGGGGAGAAGAACCTCCTGGTGACCCCTGGCCCGAAAAGATATCTGGCTGTCCTCGGCCAGAGCCAGGGCTTTTTCGGCCATCGTGTCGGTCTGGTGGAACACTCCGTTGAGTGACATCTGTGCCCTGAGGGACTTAGTGCCGTTCTGCAGGGCCTGCAAGACAGAGATGTTCTGCCAGGCCTACGGTTGGGGACAAGCAGGGCTATTTTTGGGCAGGAACGCACAGGAACGGAGTTCCGGCTGGCTCCCAAGTTGGCCACGCCCAACAGGAACTCATTAGCATAATAGGCCACACCCAACAGCAGAAACTCATTAGGATTGGCTACATTAGGGGTGTGTGGCCTGACATGCAAAGGAGTTCCTGCTACAAAAAAAGCCCTGGGTTTTGACAACAAACAAGGTAAACAGAATAAGAAGCAAAAGGTGGGTGTGGCTGGATCACCACACTTCTGGTAACATGGGGGTGCGGCCTAATGTGCTAATAAGCTGTGCTGTCAGGGGTGTGGCCTAATATGCTAATAAGTTCCTGCTGTTGGGTGTGGCCTATTATGCTAATGAGTTCCTGCTGGGCTTTTTCTACAAAAAAAGCCCTGGGGACAAGCAACAGTTTGTCATCGAGCCTGGCCTCCTCTACTCCCCCCCCCCCATGGGGAAGGATATAAACTGGTATCCCTCTGAATTAGTTGTGATTCTTATTGTTTTAACTGTTTTAACTGTTCTAAACTGAACTGGAACGACGATCAATTCATATACGTATTTACTGAAAAGCTGTCCACTGCCCTGAGCCCTCTGCAAGAGAGTGGTTTAAAAGTTAAATAAATAGATAGATTAAAATATCGGGCTGACCCTGACCCCGAAGCTTGCTGGGTGACCTTGGGCCCAACACAGGCATACGTCGCAGGGTTGTTGTGCAGGTAAAGTAGGGGAAAACCACGGACACCACCCCAAACTCCATGGAGGAAGGGCGGAATAAGAGATTTATAGTGAATGTTTCACTAAAGCTCTGAAGGCTTCCAGATTCCACTGGGAAAAGGGGCTGTGGCTCAGTGGCAAAGCATCTGCGTGCAGAAGGTCCCCAGTTCAATCCCCAGCATCTCCAATTACAAAATCTGGCAGTAGGTGATGCGAAAGACCTCTGCCTGAGACCCCGGAGAGCCGCTGCCAGCCTGAGTAGCCAATACTGACTTTAATGGACCTTGGCTCTGATGCGATATTCTCCGTTATACCCCTGGGAGAGTTTTACGCTCTTCACAGGACAACTTGCTGGTGGGTCCCTGGCCCTGGAGATATCCAGCTGTCCTCAACCAGGGCCTTTTCAGCCCTGGCCCCGACCTAGTAGAACTCTCTGCCAAATAACAACAGGGCCCTGCGGGATCTTATGCGATTCCGCAGGGCCTCTAAGGCGAAGATGTTCCGCCAGGTGTTTGGTTGAGGACAGCGACGGTTTACACCATGGCTGGCACCCTACTTGGGACCCCCCCCATCCCCCGTGGAGCTTCCTTCCCCGTGTAGGAAAGCAGTGCAGATGGATCAACTCTTCTCCTGCCTGGAAATTGGGAACCCGAAAGTATTTGTGTGCTAACAGCATGAGAAGTCTGGTGACTGCCTACGCAGTCAGTGTGACCTTGGCAGAGATAACAGAGAGCTGCCTGTACACACACACACATTCCAAAAGGATGCTAGAATGCTTGAAACTTTCCTCTACGCAGGGAGAAGGAGTGTGAGAGGAAGGGGGGAGGGAAATGGGGGAAAACTGAGCTTATAAATAAACGCTGGGAAGCCGAGAGGTTTCAGACAGCTTCCTGCAGACTTGTGTCCTGTCAACTTTGCATCGTTTGAACTCAGCACCCACTCGACAAGTAACACCCCTGGCTCATGAAACTCCCACAGAAAACAGGAGGGAGCCACAACACATCGCTACTTGCTTTCAATTCTGTATAATATGTCGGATATGGTTTTTATGGTCTTAAATCTGTACGTCGCCCAGCGCCCCACAATCGTGGGGATTAGGCGAGTCACAAATATAATGTAATAAATAAATAAAATATAAGGCCGGGCCATGTGTTCTGGGGAGCTGCGGTGGCTCAAGGGAACTGCAGGCTGTGGAAGGTCGGTAGTTCAGCAGTTCGAGACCCGAGTGCGCCGCATGACGGAGTGAGCTCCCGTCTCTAGTTCCAGTTCCTGCCTAGCAGTTCGAACCTAGCAGTTCGAAAGCAAGAAATTGCAAGTAGATAAATAGGTACCACTTCAGTGGGAAGGGAACAGCGTTCCGTTCGCCTTGGTGTTTAGTCATGCCGGCCACATGACCACGGAAACGTCTTCCGACAGCGCTGGCTCTTCGGCTTTGAAACGGAGATGAGCACCGCAACCCTAGAGTCGGACTCGACTGGCTTTCAAGCAAGGGAACCTTTACCTTTACCTGTGTTTTGGACTTGGTATGGGATTATCTCACAATGGAAAGGATATCGATACGAACCTCAAATAAAGACCCTCAACTCTGCCTCTCTTGATTATTATAATTTTTGCTACCCTGCTTTAAATTGTATTGCTCCAAAGACCGTTTCGATCAGACTCGTGTTGTAGATGTTTTCACTATGTTAATTAATTGATGCTTGATTCTTTACTATGACCTCACATGTCCGTGACAGTTTATCGTCACCGGTTCGTCTTCGTTATCTAATGCTAAATTTCCCATTAAAACTTTTTTGAAAAAAGAAAAAAGAGACAACTGATCCGGGAACGGGTGTCCGAGGACCACATACGGAGGCGACAGAGACTGCAAGACTGCGTTGAATAATTTAAAAAAAAGGATCTCCTTGTTTCAGAAGATAGCCATTGACCGACCACACTTACCGAGCTGCTGCTTGACGCAGTGGTGCCAGTGGAGATCCAGGAGGTCCGGGTAGATGTCGGGCAGCTGTTTCAGGGCCAGCAGCTTCAGCATGCGGGAGGTGCAGGTCTTCAGGTCCCGCTCCCGCAAGAGCTTCTCCTCCGTCAAGGTGGTGGGACGCAGCTCCACCTTGTGGGCCTGCAGGACGTGGTCGACGGAAGCGCCCGGCAGGTTGCCGAACAGCTGCTCCTTCACCACGTGGATGGGGATGAAGATGGCGCCCGCCCGCACCACGTTGGGGAAGGGGCACTCGCGGGTGAGCAAGAAGGTCTCCAGCCGAGACTGCAGCCGTTTGAGGAGCCCCGCTGTGTCCTTGGAGGCCAGCCAGACCCGCTTGGCTTTGGAGGGCTTCGGCGCCTCAGGGGTCTTCGGTCCGCTCTTGGCCTTGGCCGGGACGGCTGCCTTCGACTTTGGCTTCCGCTCGGGCTCTGCCTTCTCCAGCCATTCCCTGAGCAGTTCTGGAGAGGAGGTAGATACCGAATCGGAAATGGCAGCACAGACGGAGGCGTGCAGGGCAGTGAAATACTGCTTGGGTGAAGGATGCTGGGTGGGAGATTTGCAGCTGGGGGGGAGCGAGGCGCTGACCTCTCCCAAAGCAGGAGACCCGGCCGGCATGTCAAGAAGCGGGAGTTTTGAAGTGTCGGGCTGTTTACGGCACTTGCGCGACAAGTGCTGAGCGTTGGGCTTGGCCGACTTCTCATGGACAATGTGCAGGGCAGGAAGGCTGTTTCGCCGAGTCACCATTTGTTGGAAGCTTTGCTGGACAGGCAGGCTGTTTTGCCGAGTCACTGCTTGCTGGCAGCTCTGCTGGACAGGCAGGCTGTTTTGCCGAGTCACCACCTGCTGGCCGCTTTGCTGAGCAGGCAAGCCGTTTTGCTGAGTCACCACCCATTGGGAGCTCTGCTGAACAGGCAGGTGGTGTTGCTGAGTCACCACCTGTTGGGAGCTCTGCTGAACAGGCAGGTGGTGTTGCTGAGTCACCACCTGTTGGGAGCTCTGCTGAACAGGCAGGTGGTGTTGCTGAGTCACCACCTGTTGGGAGCTCTGCTGAACAGGCAGGTGGTGTTGCTGAGTCACCACCTGTTGGGAGCTTTGCTGGACAGGCAGGCTGTTTTGTCGAGTCACTGCTTGCTGGCAGCTCTGCTGGACAGGCAGGCTGTTTTGCTGAGTCACTGCCTGCAGGCAGCTCTGCTGAACAGGCAAGCCGTTTTGCTGAGTCACCACCCATTGGGAGCTCTGCTGAACAGGCAGGTGGTTTTGCTGAGTCACCACCTGTTGGGAGCTCTGCTGAACAGACAGGTGGTTTTGCTGAAACACCACCAGTTGGAAGCTATGCTGAACAGGCAGGTAGTTCTGCTGCGTCACCACCGGTTGGGAGCTCTGTGGTACAGGCAGGTGGTTTTGCTGAGTCGCCGCCTGCTTGGAATCTCGTTGCAGAGAGGCATTATTGGACAGAGCATCTATTTGGGAATTTGACTGAAACAAGAAGTTCTGTTGCGTCGTAGAGCCTGGCCCTGCGGCACGAGGTTTCAGGATCTTGAATTTTTTGTACAAGAACGCTGCCGAGCTCTGAAAATTGCTCTTCTCCCCAGAGCGGTTTTTTTGCGGGGGCTGCGACGCTGGCGGGTTGGACTCCTGGATCACCTCCTGCCCCTTGGCTGGGTCCTCTTTCACACTTTCTCCGTCTATCTTGCCGTTTTCCCTCTCGAGAGACTCAGGCTTTCCAGCCGGTCCCTGAGCACGGAGGACATCTGGCAACCCTTCTGTTTTCAAGCTGAGGTCTAACGCATGGTCCTCTTTGGCGAATTCACTCGCACAGCCTGTCGCGCCCTGCGAGCTGGTTGCAGGTGCATTCTGACACCCCCGGTAATTCTCGCAGAACCCCGGGTAACCTCTACTTTCTTTCTCCGGCACGATACAGCTGCCGCTTGGATCCTTTCTGCTGCCTTCTGCTGCTGCATTGCAGGCGATGTCTTTCCCCTGATCGAGTGACGCTCCAGGAGTTTTAGATGATGCAGCCGAGGGAGGACGAGGGGAGGTCGTTCCTCCCGCCTTTTGCCATGACTTCGCAGAGGAGGACTTCTCTGCTGGACATCCCTCCAAGGATGGGGGGCGCAGGGAAACAGCGGATCCTTCGAGGTACTCCCGGTAAGGGGCGAGGCTAAAGACATTGTGGATCACTGGCATGGGAGGGGAGGAAGGAGACAGGGGAGCCTCAGTTCGTTTTAAGTCCCTCGGTTCTTTGTCTGGGGACTGCAGCAACTGCTGGATGAGGGAATCTGAACGTTCAGAAATTCGACTCCTCCGCGAATCTCCTTTGAGGCAGGGATCGTGTGATGCGACAGGGCTATCTGGAATCACTATGCATGCTCCCGACTGGAGAGGTTTGCCGGGGTCCCTCTTCTTGTCTTCGGAGCTCAAACCGGACTGCTTCTCTGCATACGAAGGTCCCACCTCCCTTGAGTGGCCCTTTTCCAGCAGACAAGGGCCCGTACCATAGAAGGCCTCTTGGGTTGGCCTGTAGCCGTCAACGCAGCGGGGTGACCTCTCAGCAGAATAAAGCTGTTGAAAGGCAGGGGGTTGGGGAGTCGCCCGCTGGCACCGAAAACTCTCGTTCGCTGGCTCTGCCGAACCGTCGGCCCCGGGCCAGTCTCGCGGACCCTCTCGGCTGGGGAAGGAGCTGCCCCGTGAAGACCTTTCAGTCACGGAGCATGTGGAGATGGGGTTCCTGTGCTCAAAGGAGATCTTGGAATGGGAATTCTGTTGAGACTCGTGTTCCCTGGACACTTTAAGGCCGGGAGAGGGCACTAGAGGGGAGCCAGGCGCTCGGTAGAAGTCACTTTCCAGATAACCGGGATAGTAACTCCGGGGTGCTGGTGGGAAGCAAGTCCTTGGCAGCAGCTGAGGATCATTACCAGCTGGGAAATTAAAGCTTTTGCAAGCTGGCAAGGCAAAGAGAGCTTTCTGCTTCTCCGCGTGGGCTATGCTTTGATTATAAAGCACTAGCTGCTCGTGTGAGGTTAGCGGGTAGGAAGGCAGCGGGTAGCAGGCCGATGACCTCTCTTGACAGATAAGGCCCTGGGATGCTGCCAACGGGCTGGCAGGAGGAGGTAGCTTAGTCCAGCCCTTCCCACAAGGGCTCCCAGCGCACTGTTCTGGGACGCTTTTCCGATTCTTACACCCAGCAGGGTAACTCGCGTCCACCGACGAGGCACTTGGGGCTACTTGGAGGTTTTCGAATGTTTTGTGGTAAGGCGAGAAGCCGGGCGGGGCAGCAACTGCGTCTTTCCAACTTTGGGGTAATGGCAGGAAACCCGATTCCGCAACCTGGCCCTTTTTTGCCGCGGCGCTTCCACAGCTCGCATTAACTGCATGCCCAGAAGATGGAGGAGTCCATTCGACATTCGTTGGCCGTTTCGAGGGGCTTACCGCCGGCATCCCCGGCACCGGGGAGGCTTTGGGGCTATAGCCGGCATCTGTACAGTAAACGTGATTTCGGTAAACTGGTTTGGGTACCAACAAGGGAGCACAGCCCGCCGGCACTTGTGAGGAATGCAGCATCGGGTACCCCTGGATCCAACCCTGCTGAATAAAGTCTGTGTGACCGCTATAATTAGTCCATTTCTCCTGAGCAGCCAGCGTATCTCCCACCAGGCAGTCCTTCCTCTTCTCATAGCTAGGGTTCTGTGCCCACATCCCCAAGCCCCCCGAATCTTGCCTGTAGAACATACAGCGCCCTTTCTCCGGCCTGAGTTGCTGGCTTATGCCCCCATCCGTACAAGGCACATAAGGCTCCGCGGGACTCCAATGTACCGAGAGTTCAGGCGATTCGTGGCACTGCAGCGGATAGCCGAAATAGGTTCCTTGGTAGCTGTAATGGCCGTCAGAGGCATGGCCGGGCAGCACACCGGATCTGCACAAGCCGGCCGCATGGACGTGGTTCGGATCCGCCTCCAGCCGAGGTAGTTTGCTGTAGGCCACGGCGCCCACAGCTTCCAAACGCCGCTTCTCGGCCATCACGCGGCTCTCTCCGTCTCCCGCCGCCGAAATGCAGTAGAAGAAATGCTCTGGAGAAAAAGAGGGGGGGGGGAGAAAGATCAGCAATCCGAATCCATCACAGAAGAATAGAGACAGAAAAGTCACTGGGCCAGGCAAAAGGTTTACCACCGACAACCAAGGCGGAAGCCACCGCACCTGGCGGATCGCAAAAATCACTTTATGCACATCCTTGAATTTCTCTTTGACCACCAGGGTGATGAAGGAGGGGGGTCTCTCCCCATACCCATGCTTAAAAACAAACTGAGGATTATAAACCAACATATTTATTTTTATTTATTTATTATTCACATTTCTATCCCGCCCTCCCCGAAGGCTCAGGGCGGCTTACAAGGCATATTTGCCAGATAAAACAAATTTATTTAATTTATATCCCCCCCCTCCCGGCTGAGGCAGGCTCAGTTTTAGAGGCATAAGCTCCATCTGTCAGATACCTTTGACTCTCGAAAACTCATCCCCTGAATCTCGTTGGGCTTCTAAGGGGCTGCTGGACTCGAGTCAAGATTTTCTACTGCAGACAAACATGGCTACTCTCTGAAACTAACTCAAAAATCTCCAGAATAGTAAAAACCCCAGTAGCACCTTGAAGACTAACAAACTTTATTGTAGCACAAGCTTTCGAGAAACACAGCTCTCTTCGTCAAAGGCATCTGACGAAGAGAGCTGTGTTTCTTGAAAGCTTGTGCTACAATAAAGTTTGTCAACAGACTAACACAGCTAATTCCTCTGGGTCAAAAATCTCCAGTTTGTTTTGACTCTGTTTTGGGCCCTTTAGCCTCTGGGCTTGCATTCCAACAGGTTCCTAAACCCTCGGGAGACAGTTAAAGAGAAGTGTGAAAGTTTCTATTAGAAATTTAGAGGACACGCAAACTGCAAAAAAGAACAACAAACCAGAATTCTTATCAGCCACATTTTTTCTCATCTTTCGAAGAAGAAGAAGAAGAGGAAGAGGAAGAAGAGGAGGAGGAGGAAAAAGAAGAAGAAGAAGAAATTGGATTTATACCCCGCCCTCCCCTCGGAGACTCAGAGCGGCTTACAAACTCCTTTCCCTTCCCCTCCCCACAACAGACAGGTGGGGCTGAGAGAGCTCTTGACAGAAACTGCTGTTTTCAAGAACACCTCTGTCGGAACTATGGCTTGCTCAAAGTCATCCAGCAGCTGCGAGTGGAGGAGCGGGGTGTCAAACCCGGTTCTCCCAGATTAGAGACCGCGCACTTAACCATGACACCAAACCACTACACCAAAGCAGGTCAAGCTAACTTTACGTTCATTTCACTGGACGATCCTTGGTTCTAGCCATATGGGACAAGGAAGGGAGGAAACCCATGCATCTACCTTCTCCATCCCATAATTTTATAAACCTGCCCCGTCTCCTCCAAATCTAGTTTTCCCCTAAACTAAAAAGAGATCAACATTTTCTGACCGTCTTGAAACCAAACATGGGTCCCAGCAGGTGGCACACAAAGACTGTTGTAAATGTGCTACTTTGTTAGCAAACATAGGCTAGACTAGAGTTCCCCACCTTTTCGGTACCGTGAGCCACGTTCAGATTTACTTGGTGCGGCCATCCAAGGCTGGCCCAAGGCTTTGTTTTGTTTTTGGGCACCCTCGATAAACTATGACCTGCGTTCCCACCTAGTTCCGCATTCCATTTTCTACAGCGGCCAGCCAGATGTTTTGGGGAAGCCAACAAACATTGCACAAAGGGTGCGGCTCCCCCCCCCTTATGAACCGCAAGCGAGTGGCCACGTGGAGGTGACGTCCCAGCCTTTGACCACCCCCTCCTTCTCAATTTCTCCCTCTAATCGCCATTAAGAGTCTAAAAAACTCACTCAAGTAACTATCAGGACATGTTTCACTTTGATCAGCAGTGAAAGAAAAACTACCAGCTAATGTATGACATGGAGGATACAGTTTCTAGGGTCAGGCCTTGGTAGAAGGAAGAGGAAGAGGAGATTGTATTCATACCCCGCCCTTCACTATCCGAAGGAGTCTCAGAGCAGCTTACAATCCCTTCCCCTTCCTCTCCCCACAACAGACATCCTGTGAGCAATGCTCCCTCTAAGCTGTGGAGTCCTGTGAGCAAAAATTCTACTTTGCGAGCTACTGGCATTAAAGTTGTGAGCGGGCGATTTGGCTGCTGCATCAATTAGTTTGCTCTGGAGCCCTCCTTCCTGAGCGAAGACAAAAACGTGTGAGCCGGAGGCTAAAAAAACTGTGAGCGAGCTCGCACTAACTCAGCTTAGAGGGAACACTGTCTAGTGAGGGCTTGGGGGAAAATGTGTTTTTATTCAGCACCATTTTAAGTAATCCCGTTTAGGAGGCAGCATTTTAAGACAGCAACTGCAGACTTTGGACTTTGCCACCAGGCCTTGAAAGGACTTGCTTTCTTCCTTCCCCTGCCCCAAACATTCAGTCTCCCATGTCTTGTAGAACTCAAAAGCAAGCACACTGCAGGGACCATAAGAACATAAGAACATAAGAGACGCCAATGTTGGATCAGGCCAAAGGCCCATCTAGTCCAACACTCTGTCACACAGTGGTCAAAAATACCAGGTGCCATCCACCAGTGGGGCCATGGCTCAGTAGTAGAGCATCTCCCCGGCATGATAGAACTTCTTAAGCTAGAACTTCTGGCTGCCAGACAATCTTAGGATCTCCTGGCTGCACTACCCACCCACCAGGCCATACGATAATCAATTAAGTTTGAGCTCTTGTAGCGTTATGCACCACTAGCTGCAGTGGCTCAAGTGGTTAAGATGCTGAACTGCAGGCTGTGGAAGGTCAGTAGTTCAGCAGTTCGAGACCCGAGTTGCCGCATGACAGAGTGAGCTCCCGTCTCTAGTTCCAGCTCCTGCCAACCTAGCAGTTCAAAAGCAAGAAATTGCAAGTAGATAAATAGGAACCACTTTGGTGGGAAGGTAACAGCGTTCCGTGCGCCTTGGTGTTTAGTCATGCCGGCCACATGACCACGGAAACGTCTTCGGACAGCGCTGGCTCTTCAGCTTTGAAACAGAGATGAGCACCACAACCCTAGAGTCGGACTCGACTGGCTTTCGAGCAAGGGAACCTTTACCTTTTACCAGTAGGTGGCGAGCTAGACTTGTTTTTGAGGCAAGAGACGTTTCAGAGGTGGTTTGCCATTGTCTTCCTCTGTGTCACGACCCTGGTATTCCTTGGAGATCGCCCTTTCAAACACCACCCAAGGCCGACCCGGCTTCGCTTCTGAGATCTGAAGAGATCGGGCTAGCCTGGGCTACCCAGTTAAGAGATGGTAGGTGATGCGAAAGGCCTCCACCTGAGACTTTGGTTCAGTGCGTGCAGAAAGTCCCAGGTTCAGTCCCCTGCATTTTCAATTAAAAGGATCAAGTAGTAGGTGATGGGAAAGTCCTTGACGTGAGACCCTGGCTCAGTGATAGAGAAGGTTGCAGGTTCAATCCCTGGCATCCCCAGTTAAAGGACCAGGCAGTAGGTCTTGTGAAAGACCTCTGCCTGGGACCCTGGAGAGTTGCTGCTGAATGGAGACAGATCTTTCCCTTGCAAATGGGGGACGGAATGTGCTCTGGCTGGGAACAACAAAATAAAGGAAACCGTTCCCATAACATAAGGATGTTTCCCACCACATATAAATTGCACAGTCGCCTGAACTGGAAACATGTTATGAAGTCTGCCTTGGGTCACAGTTGGCTAAGGGCTAGATGATATAAATACGGAACGTTAGGACAGCAGAACTTCGCATTTGCAACACTCAAAGAGAAGAAGAAGCATCGCTAGGGCTAAGGATGTGAAGGCCCGGGAAAAAAACGGAAAAATTCGGGGAGGGGGGGCGTTTTTTCCCTTTTTTTTCCTGAAGCCTTTTTTGTTTTTTTCTGAAAAATTGGAAAGATCGAAAAAAGAAAAGAAAATGATTATGGAACGTTTAACAGCAAGTAGATCTACAATGGGTGCTTCGCTGCTTTCCTTCCCAGGTGATCGCTTTTTCCCTCGCACCAATCCTTCAAGGTTGGCTAAGCATAGAAAGTATGACTGATATGCGGTCACTGAGAGAATTTCCCCACAGAGCAGGTGGGCTGGATTCGAACTCTAGCCACTATGCCACACTATTGTTATACAAATAAATTCCCAGTCAAAAATTGGAGTCATTTTATGTTTCTAAAGTAACAGGATGACTTTCAATCTAGAAAAGACAAAAGAAATGCTAATGTAGCATTTTTTTCAATTTTTCTGAAAATTTCCGTTTCCCCCCGAAAAAAACTGGGGGGAAAACGGTTTTTTTCCCGAGCTTCAAAATTTCCAGAAATTTTACATCCAGGGCAGCCCCCAACTTGGAAGACTTTGGGACGATTCCTTCCAAAGACACCTTTGCAGGCTACCTCGATCAATCGGCTTTGCCGTTTTAACAGCACCAAATAGATCCACAATGGGTGCTTCGCTGCTTCTCGTCCCAGGCAATCGCTTTTTCCCTCGCACCAATCCTTCAAGGTCGGCTAGGCATAGAAAGTATGACTGATATGCGGTCACTGAGAGAATTTCCCCACAGAGCAGGTGGGCTGGATTCGAACTCTAGCCACTATGCCACACTATTGTTATACAAATAAATTCCCAGTCAAAAATTGGAGTCAAAATGAGGAGGAAGATCTTAGTGTTTTAACTGCAATCAAGACACCTGAAAACAGTTAGGCCAAACAAGCCTATCAAAAAATTGACTGCTTTCTGAGCACAATCAGGACATACATGAAGTTTTATACTTGGAATGACATCCTCATGATGTAAAGGAGAGGTATTGATTGGAAAATTTTGGAAATTCATCATCAATATTCTATAATAAGAGTATTAGAGCCTGCTTTTAGAAACTAGAAAGTAGCACACACAAAGGATGAACTCTGCTATAAAGTTCATTTGTAGAATATAGGCTTACACAGCAGAATGCAGGATGTACAGCAGAATGCAGGACGCTATCC